TGAACTCTTTCTTCTGCCTCCTGAAAAACTGGGGGATTTTAGGGCGATGTCAGCCACATCTGGTTCTTGCGCGAGGTCGAGGAAGTCTGCCGCGTTCTTCGTAGGCGTTGTTCAGCATGGCTCAGGCTGCCTGTCCCATGCACTTGCTTCTGCTCGCTGCGTTGTTGGACATGAGCAGCTCACAAGATGCTTGCATTGCTTTGAATGGGTGCAAGGAGTGCGATTTGTTTGCAACTTCCGCCTTGGCTTCATTGGCGCGTATACAGGCAACCCTTGAACAAGTAGAAGAAACCTTTTATGTCCCAGGAGCGATTTCGCAGCTGCCTTTCCTTGACCGACTGCATCTTGGACGCCTTAAGGGGCCATTGTTTCGTTTGTCTCAGTGACCAGATGGTAAGCAATGCTTGAGGCATGTGGGGGTTGATGAATACTCCTGGCCCAAGCATGACCATGGGAAACTTGTTCTATGGGAGATATCATCTTTTAGTGGTCTTCCTCAATGATCATTTCATGTAAAAGACCTTTTGATCAACCCCCGTGAAAACTGTGCACCCTTGTTTGGAAAAACCTTGACTTCATGCTTTGGTTAGCTGTGACCGTTGAACTTGTTGGTTGGACAGGATATTCTCAAGTGCTCAGTGATTTTTCGCAGGGACCGCAGGGAGAGATGTGGAAGGCCTACACCTGTATCTATATTTGTACAATATGTCTATACGCAAAGGCTTTTTGCGTACCTAGCTCCCTGCCTCCCTACCCTCCTGCCTGCCTGCCTGCCTGCCTGCCTGCGGATGGCACCTCCGCTTCCCCCAAGCCACTACCTCCAGGGCCATGGCGTACGCACCCTTACAGATATCCCACTGCTCCCTTTCAGATGAAAAACTGACACCAAAAGACCTTAGAGGAGCCCTCCTTCTTGGAGCCCCCTTTGTTCAACTTCCATCTTTCTTTCCAAAACAACATTCCAGCAATTGCCATTGCCGGGCTTGTTCGCTTGTTGCCGCCGCTTCCTCCACCTCACAAAACACGGCGTTTTGCGGTCGCTCGCTCGGGTCGAAGTCAGTCGGAATCCATCGAGGCATCGTGTGCAGTTGGTCGGCGGCGGACTTCCGCGAGGCGGTGCAGGCTGCGCCCAGGGAGCGGAAGCGCTTCGACCTCCTGAAGGCGGCGAGGCGGGGGGAGGGACCGGGGGGAGGGAGGTGTTGGGGAGGCGAGATGGATTACGCATCCCATGGATGCGGCATGGACTCGAAAGAACTGCCCATGAGACAAAAGGGGAATTCACTCAGAATTTTGGTTAACTATGTTTAAGGGACTTTTGAGGATTTGGGTACAAAGGAGCCACTTACAAAGTGGACACAAAGTCCCCAAGTGATGTCCACAAGGCTTCCGGAAATTTGCACCCTGCGACTTCATGTCCTGGATCCTTTAAAAGTCGAAGCTGTTCTATCCTTAAACGTTTTAAGGGTTTAAGTTCTGCGCCCCACAAAGCTCCTGCGAATGTCCAATTTATACATTCGAACATATAGAGTCGTCCAATCAATGAATAATAAGATATTGCAAAGTCCATTAAACAAGAACAAGAAGCAACTTGCCACGAATCTTGATGTACATCTATATGTGTTATATTTATTTATTTGTTTATTTATTAGTTGGCTTATTTATATGTATTTATTGATTTATTTATTGATCTCCATATATAATATATGTATATATATGAGAGTCGTCCGAAAGGTCCTTGTATTGAGCTATGAAGGGGGAGACCTTTTCGTCTTAGCGTTGACCTCCGCGAAAGTTCGGCGAAGGGGGTCGCGAAAGTTTTTTTTTTTTTCCGCGAAAGTTTTGTGTACGGGTGGCTTACTAGCAGGAAGCTGGAATGATGAACCATGTCACGGTGTATTTCCCGGCAGTGCACGCAGAATGCCCGCAGACTAAAGTTGGTCGGAGAATGCGCAGCCTGAGGGTCGCCGCAAAACACGCCGCTGCAAAAGCAACCCCCAGCAGAAACCAGCTTCTGATTCTGGGAGTTTTGAAGCTTTCCGGGCAAGTTGAGCGCAACTTCCAGCCGGATTTTCGCGAATGTTTGGCGTAAGATCCGCGAAAGTTTCGCGAAAGTCGACGGACCTCCCCGCCAGTTTCCGGACATGAGGCCAACGGGTCCTCTCGTGTGTATAGCTCACGGCTTGTGAGCTGGAGCTGCGGAAGTGCGCTTCGCGTGCTACTTTGGAACTGAAAGGTTGCGAGTTTCGAGCCGGCAGTTGACTTTGTGTACTACTTTCGTATTTGAAAGCTTTCGAGGCTGAGGGAGTTTAGTTCGTGTACTACTTTCGTATTCAAGCCGGGCTGCGAAAGTGTACTTCGTGTACAACTTTTGTGATGATTGTTCTGAAAACAGCCCCGTGAAAGTTCCGCAATGGGGTCCGCGAAAGTTATCTTTTTCTCGCGAAGATTGCGTTTTCCGGAACAAGGAATTTCAGACACCGTCATATACACGCGTGTGTATTTATGTACATTTTATTCTCCAACAGCTGAAAGCTTTGGGGGTCTCAGTTCAGATAGGCTCCGGGGTGGTCCGGGGCGGCTCTCAGGTAAGGTTCCACGAGGGTTCCACCAGGGTTCCACCAGGGTTCCACCAGGTTCGGCGAGGACTGCGGGGTGGTGCGAGCACTAAAAAAGAGCACCGCATGCTGTTGGGGATATCACCTGGGCTTATTTATTTTTTCATGAACTTATTGATTGATTTGTTGACTTATTTATCGAAGACACATTCTTCGAGTTGTCCGACCGTTTTTTGTGCGCCCAGGTTCAAGGAGTGGGAGCGTTGCGGCGTCCACCAGCTCGCCTCCATTGAGGCCGCTGGATTGCACTTGGGTGGATCTTTACCTGGAGTCTCCGGATCTGACGCGTTCAGAATGGGTCCATGACCAACCCTTTTTGTTGGTAATGACCAACCATTATTTAAGGGTCATTGAGACTCCAGGCTGAACAACTTGTTGCTGGAAATCACTTGGGTTTCCACATTGAACCCACCAAAAATTAAAACACTTTTTGAGGGGTCAACAGCAAGCTGCTAGGATTTTGTAAGTTTTGCAGATGCATGAGAAGAGTCGGCGGCAAGCGAGGTGATCGCCAAGTGCTCCAAGGAGTTTTTGGTGGACCTGGCATCGGCAGCCACGCCGGAGATTTGCTTTCAGGGCAGCGACGCTTGGCGCGTTGGTATTGTCAATCTGGTGTCCAAGCAGACGGGCCCAGCGCAACTGGTTCAAAACGAGTTTCGCTACAAGCCCTGTACGCCAAATGAGCCAGGTTCCAAATAGAGTCGGAAGGCCGGTGGACTATGGCGGACAGGGTCTTCCAGTTTCATTCCGGGCAGGTAAAGGCTCCGGTAGGATGAAATCGAATAAGTAGTTGGGGTTATGCGAAATTTCGGGGGTTTAGCACCGTGGTTAGAACATGATTCAATCTCTCCAGTGTGATCACCTCAAAGTGATCACTAGCCAGGGTGGTTGTCCCAAATCGCCTGCCCGGGCTGAGGTGTGATGCAGCCACCTCAGTGAACGTTTGCCATTCCGCTTAGCATGTCAGGGTTGGTTGCAAACTGTGCTTGAAACAGCCAACTCCAGATTTTCTTGAGAACTCAAAAGGAAGCTGGCTTGTTTCAGCCGTGCTTTTAAGGCTTACCGCGTTGGCCCGGCTATGGATATGACTTGCTAGCGTGGAAGGCGTTTGAAAACACGGCGCTGAGTAGTTGCATTTCGGAACATGCCTCAGTCTTATGGTGACCTTGTGCCATCTTTATTCCCGCATCCTAAGGACATGCTAATTGCTTCAGAGAAGAGCATCACAGTAGGGGATGGCGATGTTCCGCAGCAATGATCTATCTGATCCGAACACCGAAACGCAATCCCAGGACATCATCGCAGAGCCTTCGGATGATCTGGTCCTTCTGATGAACGGCAATGCTGATAAGCTGGGCAGCAACGGCAAGCGTGCCTGGTCCGCTTTGCTTTTTTTTGAGACCAAGCCATCGGGGAATCTGATCGACTGGTTTTTTGGAGATTGTGTAGAACGACCCACCAGAGGATTCTTGAGGGTAAAACTTGGACAAGCTCCAACCGACCAATGCAAAAGTCCGAAAAAAAATGAAAAAAAAGAGTCCTGACTTTGGGCTGAGTCTTTGGACAAGGCATAGGCCTAAGGCCCCTGAACTCTGGCCAAATGTAGGACGCCACTGCGATTCCATTTTTTCAATAGATCGTTTCTGGGTGATATTCATTTCGTTGATGTGTTTGAGATTCCCTCTGGATGATATTGGCTTCAGCGTTTCCGGGCTTCAACTTGGAGCTTGAGGTATATATATATATGCTTCGGCTGCAAATGCTCAATCTAAAAACTTCCGTTTGTTTAAGAATATGTTTGTTTGTTGTTGGTTTTAAAGGGAATCTATCACTACTGGATATTTTTTCCTACGGGTTCAGAAGGAAGGCCGAGGCCCGGCCTACTTGGGTCGATGCGACAGGGCTTGGCGGATTAGCCACGCTAGCTGTGTAGTTGACACCAGGGGTTGGAGACATGTGTCAAAATATGAGTTGCCCACGAGAGCCTTGTATGTCGAAACCTGGTGGTGGTCCTTTACCTTCCCACCAACTAACTTGGACCGTTCGACGTTTTGGGGGGGGTCCTGGTTTGGACCAGCTGGAGTCTCCATGGCCCTTAAAGAATGGTTGCTCATTACCCAAAATAATGGTTGGTCATGGACCCATGTTTAAAGGGTCAGAGGGAGACTCCGGGCATTTTGGGCTCATTACCCACAATAATGGGGTCCATGACCCATGTTTAAAGGGGCAGAAGGCGACTCCAGGCATTTTCCTAAAGGGCCCGGGTCCAAGGAACTCTCAGCCAAAGTCTCAGGACATCGCGCCCAAGCGCCGGAGATACTGAGCACCAGCAACTGGCTGGGAGACCCTGAGGCTGGGTCCATGGCTTTTGGGAGGAGTGAACACACACAGACACCACACACGGACACACACACACACACACAGACACACACGGACACACACGGACACACACGGACACACACAGACACACACGGACACACACAGACACATACACAGACACAATACAGGCAAGAAATCGCCACTTTTGAAAGTTCCAACAAGGGAAATGGGTGTCTTTTCTAGGAGACCCGCCAAAACGGTGGCTGTCCTTTTGATTTCCCTTCAAAACTACCAAAAGAAGGGTACCTGCAGTCTCCTTCTGACCCTTGAACAATGGTTGGTTATGAGCCAAATCATGGCGTCACGGATCCATTCTGAATGGGTCGGGGAGGCTCCAGGTACCTGTAGGTAACCAAGGGCTTGCCAAGCGAAGACCAAAATGGACAAGAGCTGGTAGCCTGCTATCTATATATCAGGGCTTGCCTGGGATCCACCGGGAGGGACGGGAAGGGATGGATCACACGTTCAACAGACACCAGGTCAAACAATTGCCAGACTGTCCAGAGACGAGAATGGGAGACCAAATTGTGCAGAAGCACGAGGGGACAATTGTAAATCGACCGGGCACTTGGATACTGTGTCAAACACATGCTTCTCATTTGCTGATGAACAAGCAACCAGATTTCTGGTTTCCCAAAAGAGGTTCCTCTAAATGTGATGCTTTCTGGATCGCATATGAGCCAACATCTGTGGTATTGATACTTCTTGCTGTTGAAGTGTCATTCTGCGAGGCCTTACTCTAGTATACAGACGGTCTTATGCTGGCCAGATTCCAGCTTCCCCCCAGGCCATGTGTTTCGTTTGGGGTGTATGCAAGGGTGAGGGTGGAAGTTTTGAATCCAAGTTGGCAAGAATCCCATCCAACCAACCAACCAGGCAGCCAGGCAGCCAGCCAGCCAGCCAGCCAGCCAGCCAGCCAGCCAACCAACCAACCAACCAACCAACCAACCAACATGGTTTGGCGCCGTAGCTCGGCATGGACAAGGGTCAGACATCGCTTGCAATAGGGCTGCTGTAGGCCGTGTCCGTCGTCGCGGCAAGGTGAACTTCGGTAATGTTCACCCCATACTAATCAACCCCGGGGGGCCAATTTGTATTGTTCCCCTCAAAAGTGATGATCCCCACTAACCCCCCTATTCATGAACCCAATATGGGGCCAACATTACGCCGGACAAACTCCTGGAGTTGGTATTGGCCAACTGCAACGATATTGCCCCAAGTACTCGTGCCCGGCGTTTTCAACAGGACCAATCGATCCTCTTTCGATCAATGGAAGTGTACAGCAAGGTCTTGAACGACTACCCTGATCTGAAAGAGGTCTCCTGTCCACTTCATGCTATGATTTTGTCAGAGGGTTAAGAGGAACCCTTTCAACAAGCCCAAGTTGGAGCCCTGGGCGTTTCTCTTGACCACCAGCCAAACCCACGGAGCCTTGGGCATGTCCAAGCGCCGGATTCCAAGCCACCCGGCCCCGGATCTTCCACCCGGTGGATCGCTCGCCTCTCGCCTCCCGCCTCCCGCCTCCCGCCGCTCGCCAGGCGGGCGAGAGCGTGGGCCGCGTGAAGGCCAAGGGCGTGTGCCAAGTGCTGCGCTTCGAGAGGCAAGTGCTGATGGACCTGCTGAGCACCTGAGCTGATTCGCTTCGGAGTCGAAAGGAGGGAAAGTTGGGGGGCGTTTTTTTTCCTTTTCAGCCGGCATTTTTTGAGGGTGCCTGGCTGAGCTGAAGATCCGGATTGAGGCAGAAGGGAATTTGGGTCATGGAGACTCCAGGTATTTGGACTTGGGCTGAAGATTCGGATCGAACATACCTGGAGTCTCCGGATCGGACCCTTTAAACATGGGGTTAAACAAATGGGTCATGGACCCATTTTTAAAGAGTCATGGAGACTCCAGGTATTCAGTTGCACAAGATTCGGATTCGACAAAAGGAATTTGGGCTTGGGTTTCCTCTCAGCCAACATGTCTCAGGGTACCTTGATCCCTGAAATGAGCACTTGGAGGCTCCGGATCTGACCCTTTAAACATGGTTGGTCAGCAGCCAACATGGGTCATGGACCCATTTTTGAAGGGTCATGGAGACTCCAGATATGCATTTGGACTTGGTTTCCTTGAAGCCAGCATTTTTCAGGGTACAACTTGATCCCTTAAATAAGTAACATGTGGGGAGGGTAGCCGCTAGAATCAAGCCACGGACTCAGTGGAGTCCGGCAGAAAGATCAATCCATAGTCCGAAGAGGAAGGGACGGCTCTCAAAAGGAGACCCGCGAAGTGGGCTTCAGCTTCCTTTTGGTTTCCCTTCAAAACCCCAAAATGATTTGCCCTCAAAAGTACTTACCCATATATTGCATATAGGTGTGTTGCAAAAAAAGGGCACCCAAACTGCGTGGTTGTCTCTTAGTTTCCTCTTCAATACCAGACATGCAACAAGAATGGTACCCTCCAACAAGATTATAGTATTGCGGATTCTTGTGGAGTTGCAGGGCTTGTGGCTTGGGGGAGTTTCGTTTTGCTCAGGATTGAGGAATGCCAGAAAACCAGCGCCACAAAACCTCACAGAAAGGGTTGGGTGGGTGGCTCTCTTGACAAGTCCTGGAGAAAGCCCACACGCAGAGCGCGAAAGCCCGCGGCAGCTTGCGGCCAAAGTGGTTGTGGAAGAGCCTGGGAAAGCGTCGCGAGACTGCATGTTTGTCAAGTCCCGTTTGAGCTCAGCCCAAAACAACAAATTCGCTAAACATCTCTGCGAAAGCTGCGCGAAAGCTCCAGTTGCCCCATTAACGGATTCCAACATCCTGTTTGCTTCGCTCCTTTGCAAGTCTAACCACCGACAAAAACGGAAAGTGCTGCTCAGCCTAGTGTAGATGGCCCAGTAAAGCAAACCCGCCGCAAAAGCTCCGTGGAAATGCTTCTTGAAAAACACTATTTAGCCCGTGCGAAAGTGACATGTGACCCATGGCCGAAACAAAAGAAGAGAGGACGAGAGAGAGAGAGAGAGAGAGAGAGAGAGAGAGAGAGAGAGAGAGAGAGAAAGAGAGAGAGAGAGAGAGGAAAAACAAAAATCAATACCTGGAGTCTCCATGACCCTTAAAAATTGGGTCCATGACCCCATTATTTTGGGTAATGACCCCATCTCTTAAGGGTCATGGAGACTCCAGGGAGCTGATTTCTTAGAGCTTTGAAAGACTGAAATGGATGACTGGATGGCACTGAAATGGATGACTCGCAGAGGTGAGCTGCTTTTAGATGTGAGGGACAGCTAAAAGCGCAGCTCACCATTTGTGGTTGGGTCAAAGCCACTTAAGTAGTCCGTGGTCCGTTTGGGAGGGACATGGGGGACTCGCACATTGTTTTGGCGGCTACCCCACTAAAAATGGTCTTCCCCAAAAAGGGTTTTCTTTCTTTTCCAGGGTCACTGAACAACTGAGTTGGGGACGAATCGAGGCCCCGAAGTTTCCCATGTCCTCTTGGGGCAACGCTTCTTTTCTTTTTTACCGTGGCTCATCGGGATTCGCCCTCATGTACCCAGGCCGTCATCCCCATGAGACAGCCGTCATTGTCGCAGAGGCGCACGGATTGCTGGGTGACTGGCTGGTCAGGGAATGTCGGACTGTATCGTGAGCTGTGTCACTGCACTTCTCCTCGGCTCCCATTGCCAAAAGGGGGTGTTCCAAAAGGTAGCTCAATTCTCCACGAAGCGACACAAAAACCAGACCAAATCATGACTCCCAGGACCCCAATTGCCTAAAGGGCACACTCCGTTGGAGACTTCCAGTTCAATGTTTCCAGCACCAATTTCCTGATTTGTCCTGTACACAAACAGCTGTCGATGTCTATCCCAATTGTTGCAACTAACAAATTATCTCACTTCCTGAGTTCATGGACGTTACAACACCTTTTGCAAACGCCATGTTAGGCTCAGTTGTTCAGTGGCACCGTGTTTCCCTTTTTTTTTGTGGTGGCTGCTCACTAAAAATGGTCTTCCCCAAAAAGGGTTCCCTTTTTTTTCTCCAGGGTCACCGAACAACGGAGGTCTAATTAAATCAACCAGCTACGACTTTTCTCGGCTCCAGTCCACTCCACGGGTTCTTTTCCCGCGCCCGCGCGCTCTCGCGACTTCTGAGGCCAGCCGCCTCCGCACCCGGCGCATGTCCGCCGCCAAGATCAAGGTGCGTCTGCGGGGAGGTCTGCAGAATCCGCGCCTCGATTCCGTCCGCGTCTGGTGGGTGGTTGGCGTTGCCGGCGTTCGGCGTTGGTCCCCGACCCGGGCGCCAGAAGAAGAAACATGTTTTTTTTGTTTTAAGGAAAGCAGATGGATCAAGAGGTCCATGGCACCACCGAAAAGCCAGATGTGTTTTGTTTCTGTCTTTTTCTTCCTCAGGTTTCGCCTTCAAATCCGGGGGATGATGGTTCCTTTTAAAGTCGGGCAACAAGGTGCCTTTTTTTTATGGCGACGGTCCGGCGGGAGAATTCCCACGCATGTCAGGGCACCAATCCGCCAATCCGATGGTCTACCTCTTTTGATCATATATAAGACACACTCGTGTAATTGCTGTCTATCCCTTTTGCCTCTGATTTTGGCAGTGCCATTGCAGAAATTGGACTATCGGTATCTCGTGTCACAAAAGTCACATGATGTCCTTGAAAACAGTTTTCTGCTGAAACCATGCATATTTGGGGTTTGTCACCAAATCGGGACTCCCACACATGATCGGGTGTTCTTTTGGCCCCCTTCAAGCCAACCTCCAAGAAGGTGGCCTCAAAAACCGGCCCACCCATATCGTGGATAGCTTGTCAATTGTCTCAATGCATGGACTGGAAGCAAAGGCCACACGTGCCTACGAGTCTGGGATTCGAGTCGTGGTATGGTTACCTGACAGCAAGTGGGCTTCATTGAATAGGTTTTACATCTCACATCCCTCACCGCCTTGGCATACCAAAAGAGAGGCCAAGGAAAGCGAGGTTTTTGGATTCGGGTTTCCTTCATAGGGTAGCTCCAAGCGCTGGTTTTCACACAGGTTGGCGAGCCCTGTCACGTGAGCAATTTGCTTTTCATTGACTCACCGACTCGAGAGGCGCTAGAAAGATGTCCTTCATGTGGATGGGGTGAGTTTGGTGAGAAAATTAGAATAGCAATCTGCTTTTCCTTGACTCAGGGGTAGGAAGATGTCCTTCATAAGGTGAGTTTGGCTCAATTTCCCTACCTTGGAATGCAAGGAATGGGCTGTTCTGGTACTGCCCTTTCTGCGACAACCTGGGCGACAAGTTCTTAGAGGAGCTTATCAAGAGTGACTCGACTGGGTGGGCCTTGGAGGAGTCTCCTTCCCCAGAATTAGTTCCCCTTGTTTTTTTTGTTGGCTTTGTTGGGGTTCCCTTTCTTTTCCACTAACCAAGCATTTTTTTTGCTGGGGTCCTAATTGCAGCCAAGTCTCAAACTTCCTATAAACATGGGGGAAGTTACTAATAGATGTTGAGCAATATCCCAATTTGGCGGGGTGGATTGAGGGGTAGATGACCAGCCACGTTTAAAAGGGTCCCCTTTTGTCCAATAAATCAGCTCAGGTGATATCCCCAACAGCATGCGGTGCTCTTTTTAGTGCTCGCACCACCCCGAAGCCCTACAGAACCTCGTGGAACCCTCGTGGAACCCTGGTGGAACCCTCGCGGAACCCTCGTGGAACCTTACCTCAGGGCTGCCCCTGACCACCCCGGAGCCTATCTGGGCTGAGACCCCAAAGCTTCCAGCTGTTGGGGAAAAAGAGGAAGGTTACTCGTAGATGTTGAGCAATATCCGAATTTTACGTGGTGAATTGAGGGCTTGATGAGGTCTCCTTACCTATATAAGCATGGGGTGTGACCCCTTTTTGGTAGATGACCAGCCACGTTTAACATTCCCTTTCGTGCAAGAATCATGGACGTGGGCCTGGTTTTGGAAGACTGCCACACGTTTAAAAAACGGCCCATGGTCCACTTATCAGGATTGTTGCACAAAAAGGATACCTTATCGAAACAAACAAATGGGGACGAAAAGGATAGGCTTCCCCTTGGAGTTATGTTAAGTATGTCTTAAGGCCTATGACCACTCAGACCTGGTAAAAGTTCCATGGGCAATGCGGAAACTCTTCAGATCAATCTGCCTGTTGTTTACTAGGGCGGGGGTAGAACAAGCTAACCATGACACAGGTAGAACATACCTGGAGTCTCCAGGACCCTTAACACAGGGTCATCACGCAAAATATTGGGGTCATGGACCATTTTTACAAGGTCATGGAGACTCCAACTATAGTGAACATTGCAGATGTGCCCTGGACTCATCAAAGATGGTGCTCGTGGGAGATGAATCCCCTTTGGGGGTCCCTTTTCAGATTTCGTTGCGGATAGGTCGACCGCTCCAAGGTCGACTGCTCCTCAAGTCAGTCCTTTAAACATGCACCTGTGTCAGATTCCAGAGATGGCGCCCTTCTTTGCAGATCTGGAAATATGGCTGCGGCTCCAAAAACCGGTACCAAACCGGTACCAAAATGGAGCCCTGGTAAGTGGAAGCATGGACCAAAACCTGCGGTTTGCCCCTCCTGTTTCATTTTGAGCCACACCCAAAATATGAGTATGACTTTAGAACAGGAAGTTGTTTCCGGGGTCCTTTTGGACCGGATGGTTCGAAGGAGCTCTGAAAAGTCTACGGGGCGAATGCGTATGGAAGCCTTCCAATTCTTAAGAACCGTCAAAATGGGGTGTTCAGGGGGTTTTAAAATAGGGGACCCCCAAGAATGTGTTTTTTTTGTTTGTTTAGTTTCCCTATGACTCCCCATCTAACAGGGGCACCAGCTCAAGACTAGACGAGCCACCGGGGGTTTTTGAGCTTGCCAATTCTCAGATAACCCGGCGGTTTGGAGCGGTGGTTTGGGCCTGGCTTTCGTAGAGGGTCAACGGGCAAACCACCAAACCACCAAACCGCCAAACCGCCAAACCCCGAAACCGCCAAACCGCCAATCCAAAGCACCTGTTTTGAGGGAAGCTGAACTTCGCCAAACCTGTCAGAGCTCCAGAAATGCTGCCCACCCATCTGGGGGTTGATTCCTTTTCCATTCTGTCCATCCATCGTTCTTTTCAAAAACCCGCTATTTTCCTGGGTTTCCGGAGGTTTTCTAGGATCCCTAGAAAGAATGGAATTGAAAGGTACCCTAGAACCAAACAACCGCCCCGCCACCAAACCACCACTGCCGAATCACCTCAACACATCCGGAGCTGGCCCCAACCACCAAACCACCAAACAACCGCCCCACCACCAAACCACCAAACCGCCAAACCACCAAACCACCAACTTCCCAAACCGTCAAACCGCCCAACCGGCTCAACACAAATCCGGAGCTCCAGGCATGGACTGCTTCAAGCTCATCCCCGGGCAGCCGCTTTTGCGGAACCGATCCTCGCACATGGACCTGGCCAGAGCCTCGAGCCGGATCGAGCCGGATGCATCGATGAGCAAAAGGAAGTTCTCCCGTTGGCTTAAGGATATATATATATATAAAGGAAGGGACAGATGGGAGATGAACCGCTATTCCAGAAAGGTTCATAAGCTGAGATAAGATGGTCTCACACCGTTCCATCGCATCCTCACTCACTCACATGCCAGGCTTTTCCATAAGATAAGATTGCCTGGCATGGAAGGGAATGAAGAGATAGAAATATGATGGTTACCTCGTCAACAGGAAAGACGCGGAGAGGGAACCATCCTATTTGGAAAGAAGTCAGAATGGGTACGGCGGGTTTGTTTTAATGAAGGAACATGTTCACAAGGAAGCCAATGCTTGGGGTGCTTCCTTTGATTAAAACATGCAACACTTGTTGTTGTTTTGTTTTGATTAAATCGATACATGGTTTGGCTCAGTAAACAAATGCCGTTGACAAGCGAAACCAGTTCGCCGGCATTGTCAGAGGATCATCGTGCTTGGATCGAATTGACCAAACCAAGCTTTCCATCCGTCTTGTCCAACGCTGCAAACTCGAGGCCCTTGTGAATGGGACAGCGTCAAATCACTTGGGCCACATCATTCATCGCTCGGCCGCAGACTAGCCATGACCACTAGGCAAGACCATGTGTTGCTAGGAATTTTGGCTGTAGTGTTCGTTTAGTCCAACACATGGCAAACGAGAGCAACCTCCCTCAATCAGGAATTCCTCAGCCAAGTGGTGTGTTTCAATATGTGTATGTGTATAATGATTTAACATTCAATGATAATAAATCATCACAGTCATAGTTGTAATAAAACAAGCATGACTATATATATATATATATGACACATGCATATAAATCAATCAATCAATCAATCAATCAATCAATCAATCAATCAATCAATCAATCAATCAATCAATCAATCACTCAATCATTCAATCAATCAATCAATCAATCAATCAATCAATCAATCAATCAATCAATCAATCAATCAATCAGGCAAGCAATCAAGCAATCAATCAATCAATGCAAAAGTAAATGAATACAGAGAAATGAACAACTTGAGTAAGCAACTATACATAAATACATAAATGAATCACACACACACACATAAGTTGTGTTTAAACAAAACTACTTAGAGACTTGAACAAACAGACAGACAAACACACCTACACATCAAACACGCATGAGCATCACGAGCACATACATAATACAGTATATTACATGGTAAACAAACATACTATAATCATAGATGAGCACATAAATAAATCCACACATAAGCTGGGTGTCTCTCAGTCCGAGGTGGTGGTTCTCACCAAGGGCCGGGTCAGCTTTGGCAGCGAGGCGCGGGAGGCGCCGCAGGTGATCTGCGGCTTCGACCGAGCCTCGGCCCTCGGCAACGAGGGGCGGGGCCCGGCGCGGTTTGACGCGGGGTGTGGGGGAAGGCCTTCCTTGAAACTTGGCTAGCCATCCGGTTCCTTAGCTTTTTAGACCTTTTTAGTGAGTGGGGATTTGCATTCTTTCCCAGTCTCCGGATCTGACCCTTTAATCAAAAATGGGTCCATGACCATTCTTTTGGGTGATGAGAGGGTCATGGAGACTCCAGGTTTAGCCTTGTAGTGTTTAGTGGGAATTTGCATGTAACCCACTAAAAGTTAAACTCTTAGGGGATCTGAGGACAGCCCAGTAAAGGGAAACCGACAAGGAACACCGGCGAAGCATGTTGGATCCCTAGGGAAACCGAATCACCATTTTTTGGAGTCCGTTTGGCAGGAAAACGCAAAACATGGTGCTGCAGTGCGAAACAATTTCTCAGCAGTTTTAGGGGACGAGGAGTGTTTCTCAGCATGTCAGGTCACATATTTTTCTGGGTGGTGAACAAAAATGGTGGTTTGATCTTGGACTTGTACCCCTTGGTAAATGGGAAGCCAATTCCCCGAACCTCCAAACCACAGGGCCCCAAACCGATCGGGGGAGCAACAAACTGGATCCCCTTCAACGGACACCGGTCGAAACCATTCCAAGTGGACCCCATGGGCCCATGCAAGCCAGGAACAATACACCAAAAACCTGTAGGTTTTCACCCGTGCTCCCAAAATGTGTTTCTTGAATCTCCGGCGCCTTCCTGTTTGTTTTCGAGGCCGGCAGTCTGCTCACGCAAGGTTGTTGTTTATTCTTTGTGAGACCCCCTTTTTGGTTTCAAAGGGAAACCAACCGGAACCCAGCGACTATGGGGGGTTCGTTCCCCCGGTCTTGAGGCACCCCCCATGTTCGACGGATCCTCGGATGCCGAGATCCATCCGAGGCTCAGGCTACGAGGAGACCCAGGCGCAGGTCCTGAGCGAGGTCTACTGCATCTTGACTGCTGTTGGGTAAGATCTTTAGACGTTAACTTCTTGGGAAATAAAGGCGTTTTCCACTAACCCCCCAAACAAATTGAAATTTTCCACTAAACCCTCAAAAAGTGTTAAACTTTTTGCGCGGAGGTCATTACAGCCACCAAGGCATGAACTTCGAGCGCCTGAAGCAGTTGGTCCAGCGCCAGCCCGAGGAGACCAGGCGCGCAGCCCGCGAGCGTCCCAAGCGGCCGGCCGGCTACGGGGGGAGAAAATGCTGGAGGAGATGTGGGTATGGGTCAAAATTAATCCGCCAGGGGACCGCCACTTGCCAGGGTTCCCTTTTCGGTACCTATTTTTGACCCGGGAATGTACCTGGAGTCTCCTTCTGACCCTTCAAAAATGGTTGGTCATTGCCCCAAATAAGGGGGTCGTGGACAATTTTTTGAGGGGTCATGGAGACTCGCCTTTTCCGAGCCGTTCTGGTGGGTTCATTGTAAGCAGCGCCACTTTTGGGCTAAAGCGTTAACCGTAGGTGGTCGCTTGTCTTGACTCTTAATAAGTATCCACTTGGGCCACCATTTTGGCTCAAGTGGACCTTTTGATCTTTTGTCTTGTGATTTGAAATCTTTCTTTCCCCTATACTCTCAAAGCCATGTACGCCCCCGCCTACGCTGGTGCCGCGGTAGCAGAGGCCAAGGCTAAGGCAAAGGCCTCCATGGCAAAGTACCTGGCGAGCCTCGTGAAGAGGGAGGAAGAAGGATGGACCGTTTTGGCTGCTGAGGTCCCTCAGGCACCTGACGAGCGTTTCTTCTCCAGCGCAGATGAGCTGGAGCAGGCCCCCCTTATCCCGGCCAAGCGCAAGGCAGAGGATGAGCCGATGGAAGATGCAGCCCCTGGGGTGGCGCAGGTGCCGAAGGCCCTGACACGCCCCCCAGGGGCGTTCCTGGAGCTCCTGAACCCGCCGGAGGAGGACCCCCTCGGCTGCAGCCCGCTTGGAGGAGGCCCGCCTGGATGCCCGGGCAGACGCCAAGTGGCAGAGGCGCCGGGAGCTGATGGCGAAGGTCAAGGAGCAGGCGTCCTCGGAGGAGGATGAGAACCCCGCAGCCCCCCCGCCGGGGGGGAGCGTGTTCACCAAGGCCCTCAAGGTCTCGGAGGGCCTCTACCAGTTCAGCGACGACCAGATGGCGGGCGACTTCCCTTGCTTCGATGCGACCACGGCCACTAGGCTCCGCCGACTGCAGGCCAAGGACGTCCAGCGGCTCCTGCGAGGCTTTGAGGGCCCCCAACTCAAGCGGGGGGGCCTGGAGCGCGTTGTGGAGGCCTTCTACATCGCCAAGATGAAGTACGAGCATGAGGCCCGGCTCAGCACCCCGGGACAGCAGGTTGGCAAGCGCGCTGGCTTGGGGTACGGGGGCCTGGAGAACCGCCCCCTGGGCAAGGTGCCCACATCCTGGATCTGCCCCTGCTGCACCATGCCCTGGGTGAAGAAGGGCGCCACGAAGTGCATGGGGTGCGGCAAGAAGACGGAGCCCATTGACACGGCGACCAACTCGGCCACCCTGGAGATGGCGGGCACGCATTGGCAGTTGACGGTGGATGACCAGGGCAATGCGGTCTGGACGGCGGCCCGGTCCGCGGGTGCCGAAGGCCCTGACACGGACCGGGCCCGCGACCTCAAGCTCAGTGCCTCGGTGGACGTCAGCGAGCTGGCCACCGACCCGATGGCCTGCGAGAACCCGGACCAGGCCAGCTTCTCGGACTTCGTCCCCTCCTCGGTCCGGGCGGTGATCAGGAACTGCCCCATGGAGCTGGACGAGGAGTTTCTGACGGCCCCACCGGGGGAGAGGCCCCCATTGCCAGGCGACAAGGAAGAGGGCCAGGAATGCAGAGCCTTCCACCCGTCTGCGGTGAAGGCCTTCAAGATTCAGACCCGGCTCAACGCCACCACCATCGCCCAGGAGGAGGCCAAGAAGGCGGACCAGGTGGAAGCGGTGGAGCGCTCCGCGGCGGTCCTCCACGAACTTCAGGGGGGGCCATTGACGGAGGAGGTGATGGAGGCCTGCTCCTGAAGAACCTGGACTTGGACCTCTTCCGTGAGAAGCTGCTGGACAAGCTGGGTGCGGACTGGGGGAGACCCACACCGGAGCTCCTCCAGGCCCAGACCACTGCGGAGGAGGCGAAAGCGAAACACCAAGCCAGACAGGCGAAGAATGCTCGAGCCCATCGCGCCTCCCTTCAGTGCGTGGCCTAGTGAGGTCCGGGTCGCCATTGAGACTGGGGTCTTCGAGCCGACAACGGCATGGAGGGACTTCAGTATGGACGACCTCACATCCCTCACGGACTCCTACCTTGAGGCCAAGGCGGTCATCTCGCTGGGTAGGAATCCCTTCCCGGCGGCCCTCCTGTCAGATCTGACCTGACAGGGATCCCCATGCCAAAGGCGGGGGGCTCTGGTGCGGCGCGCCCAGGTGCCGAGGGCCCTGACAGGCCGCCCACCATCCCCCCAGCCTCGGGCTCTGGCGTGACGAGCTCAGGTGCCGAGGGCCCTGACAAGCCGTCCGCCACCCCGGTGGGCCTGGACACCAAGGACCCGGAGGTGCAGCTCTCGGTCCTGCGCTGGATGATGAGCAAACGGGTCGGAGAGGTCCGTATCTTTGCGGGCCGCTGGGTCCGACGACCGGGCCCGGTACACGTCCCGGATTGGGCGAAAAACCTCACCAAGGTGAATCCGGAGGCGTTGGAGAAGGGTACGCATCCCAGGAACCACCAGGTGGGTGGACTCCCCTGGGCCAGGTACTCCGTTGATGAGTTGCACCAGCAGGCGAAGGCGGGGGACCGACCCTACCCTGGGGACCTGCGATCCATCTTTTGGGCTGCCCCCCACGATCCGGATGAGGACTTCCACTGGACGCGCCAGATCTCGTCCTGGACACTCCCAGGCCTACTGGGGATGTTCGGGCACAGCTACACCCTGCGCCAGCTCTGGCGAGTCTGGGAGTCTCTGCCACTGCTGCATCGCCCTAAACACCGGCCCGAAAAACAAGGCCCAGAATCAGACCCGCCTGGAGGGCTGAGACCCTGAAGGAGGACGCGCGGTGCTTCCTGAAGGAGGAGGGCCTTCCGTTTCCGCAGACAGGACCGGAGTGGCGATTGGTCTACCGGGCCATGGGCAAGGTCCTCGCGGCCCGGGCCTTCCTCACGGACACCCCGGCGGAGGTGATGCAGCTCCCGGTCCAGGACGTGGCGGACTCCAAGGAGCAGATGATCCTGCGGGCGGTATGCGACGAGCGCATCTCGGTCCCGGTGGAGAGCCTCCAGCAGTTCCCAGAGGTGTACAAGGCCCTCATGGACCGCATTGGAGGCCCGGGGGCCCTGGCGGAGGTGAAGGTCAACTGGCGCTGCAACACGAAGCAGTGGTGGGTCGGCGCAGTCCCCGACTCAGTGGCCCCCTCCATCTACCGCAAGCTCGGCTACACCAACGACATGATCAAGCTGATGGGCCTGGACCCCTCCGCCCCTGGGTGCCGGACAGGTGCCGATGGCCCTGACATCCGCCCCAGGGGAGGCGAGGGCGATGAGGGGATCGTTTACCCCCCCATCACGGCGGACAACCCACGGCGTGGCGGGTAAGGACTACCAGAAGAAGAACTATCCGGTGGAGATGAAGCATGTCTTCTGGGCGCACATGGAGTGTGGCCTGGTCCTGAGCTCCGTCACCCCGTGGGAACTCATCCCGAAGACAAAAGGGGAGACCCGGGGGGGCTACATGTGCAAGTATTGTAAGGGGTACTGGCGTGCCGGGGGAGGGGGCACCCGCCTCCTCCAGATCCGGGCCGGCAAGGCCATCTTGCAGCTGGTGTTGGACGAGCCGCCGGAGGGCCTCTACAACCGCTGGGTGAAGGAGCGGCTGGAGTACTACCGCCGGGTGGAGCCCTCGGCCCCGTTGCGGGACGTCTCCATTGTGGACCAGAAGGTGCCCAGGTTCAGATTCAGCCAGACCACCCAGACAGGCCACGTCTCCAATGCCATCTGGGAGCTGATTCTGCGGAATCCGGAGGCTGCTGCTACGTATGCTCGGGCAACTTAAGGACTTATAAGTGGTTTATAAGTTTGATAAGTTAGTTATAAACTAGTTATAACTTGTCAACTTCAACATAACTTCGTAACTTGTCTATAACTTGAACACTTTGGCCTAGGTAAGTTACTGTGAACTTAGTAACTTCTAACTTAGTTAAGCACTTCATGCCTTGTGAAGTTACAAGAAGTTACGAAAACTTACGCGCAACTTAGGAAGTTATGGTTTACACTACATTTGTCGTCTTGGTTGCTGAATTGCATTTTGGACATGCAATTTGTTATGAAAACGCGCCAAAGCTCTTTGTCGTCAAGTGTTCTTTGGCCGCTTCTTGGCTCAACCCAAGCGGCGATTTTGAAATAGGGAGCCCAGGTTTGCAAAGTCGATGGCGTCGAAGTTACTCAAGCAGTTGAGTGCCTCGCAGAAGTTTTTGAAGGGTTTAACAACCCTTCCGAACTATGCATCTGTGCGTCAAAAGCAGCAAGATGCGGTCAGCAAAGCGCTGGCCTGCGCCACGTGCTTAGCCGTGGCTGAGGCAACCGCTTTCATGGAAGCACTCGAAGAAGGCCTCTGGGAGTCCACTTGGATGGAGGGCGTGAAGGTGCAAGTGTCTTCCATGGTGGAGCAGGATGGGGAAGGTTCGGCATCCCGCAAAGCCATGCAGGATTATCGCTGCCTGCCACGGTATCTCAGCCAAGAGCTGTGGGCAGTCTTGCTCGATGAGCAGCAAGAACGCGCGGCAGCTCTTGAGCGACTGACGCACCATTCTGCTAAGCTGGGCCTAAGGCATCCCACGGAGGGCACGCTGGCCATCATGCTTGCAACGGTGTGGTGTGTGGGCTCTCAGCAGCCATCTTCCAGTCAGATGTTTGAGCTGCTGACCCAGAATCGGCTTAAGATCAAGAAGCTGCTCGCCTCGCACCCGCAGCCTCCTAACTATTTGCAGGTGCTACCTGCGTTGGTTGAGGAGTTGCCCCGTGAGCTTCTCATTCTTGCGCTCCCGGAAGGAGCACCGGCCCCTTGCTCACGCATGGATGAGCTGTCGGGCAAGGCTGCGGCGTGGCCGCTGCGTAAAACTTCGCGCCTGACAGGGGACCAGGGGGACGGGAGCAGAGTGGCGGAAACGTCCGGTAGCACTGTCGCTG